CGGTGTAAGTTTATCAATTCATGTTGTTCGTGGTGTCAGAAAACGAATGTTTATATATATATATATATATATATATATATATATATATATATATATATATATATATATATATATATATATATATATATATACATGTGTGAGTGTGTGTGTGTGTGTGTGTGTGTGTGTGTGTGTGTGTGTGTGTGTGTGTGTGTGTGTGTGTGTGTGAGTGTGTGTGTGTGTGTGTGTGTGTGAGTGTGTGTGTGTGTGTGTGTGTGTGTGTGTGTGTGAGTGTGTGTGAGTGTGTGTGTGTGTGTGTGTGTGAGTGTGTGTGTGTGTGTGTGTGTGTGTGTGTGTGTGTGTGTGTGTGTGTGTGTGTGTGTGTGTGTGTGTATGTGTGTGTGTGTGTGTGTGTGTGTGTGTGTGTGTATTTTTCAGGTGCTCGACAGTTAAGTTTATTCATTCCTGTTGTTCTTGGTGTCAGAAAACGATTTTTTGTTTTGTTTTGTTTTGTTTTGTTTTCAGGTGAATATATGGGAATTAATGTTTGATCAAGTGAAATAGATAGTGTTGGTTAGTATCAATATTGTTTTATCGTTGATGGTGTCATGATAGATGAAATCGACATGGGTGATCAACATTATTTTATTGTTGCTGTTATCATGAAATATAAGAACTGATGCTTGACAGATGAAATAGATAGTGGTGACTGTTGTTAATATTATCACTAACGTTGCCATGATTTAAAAAAAAATCCTTTTTTAATTTAACTTCAATTGATTATACAGGAATTAAATCTTAGCCATTAAACTTCAGCCGAAACTTCTCGACAGCTGCGTGCTCTCTGCCTCCATCCTTTTCCTTCTCTCGAATGCAAAATAAACGCAAAATAATTTCTTCCTTAACGACTTCGTAAAAATTTTCTGTTCCTAGAAGACGAACCTGATGTATGTTGTCTAAGAGTCTTAGGATTGCTCGCGAGTGTGTGTATATGATGTACAGTTAAACAGAGCTGTTTTCTTATTAGGACGCAGGATTAGTTTAGATAAAAATCAAGAAAAGAAAAGATGGAAGACGAAGAGAGAATGGATGTAAATACGAAAAAAAGACAAAGAAAAAAAATTGATTTTGAAGTAATGAGCATGTCAAGGGATTATAGAGAAAGGAGAAATACAGAGAGAAAAAAGAAGAAGAAGAATAAGATGTTAAAGAGAGAAAAAAAGGACATATTTTGAGAAGAAGAGTGCATGTCATGTCAAACTACGTTATTCCCGCCCCTGACAAGCCCAGGCTCAGTACATGAACAGTGCAATTTACGGAGAATTTTTCACCGGAAATTTTCAGCAGGCAGGAGTGTGCACCTCCTCGGACGTTGCTAAGCCGTACGATGCTTTCTGTAGTGGCTTCTTCCCGGGACAAAAGAGAATGTCTCGTAACAGCAGCCTTGAAGCCGTTTTGGACTCTCCGAACATCATACACGCGTCCGAACACAAACAAATGAGCAACGATTTCCGCGCGCATGAGTTTGGCCAATAAAATCAAGCTAAAATTCTTTTGTTGTCGTAGCGAAGAATTTTAATCCAATCAGGATGAAAACAGTGGGAAAAGAGACGAGAGGAAAAGGACGGTGTGGTAACTCGAGCGGTTAAGTACCATGTCCCTGTTTCGTAAGTCCGTATTCCCGTTTGACTTCCACGTACGGCGCCGGCTTCGACCTCGTTACAAGGACCGGAGGGCTGGGTTTATTGGTTTATATGGCGATAACTTGGAAATTAAACCCTGCTGCTGACATGCCTCCTCCTCCAGCGATAACTGATGAGAGAGGTTTTATACCGTGATTGGTAAGATGGTCTATTGATTTATCTATTTACTTATTGACTTATCTCCCTCTCTCATTTCGTTTTCTTTGCAGTGTTTCCGCGAAACCTGATCACGAGATTTTTTTCTTTCTTTCTTTTTTTTCATTCGTTAACCATTAATTTACATCTCATGATTCTTAACCACCGTGCTTTACATGTTCCTCTTCTGCACTTTTCACGAATTCAGGCGATGTTACCATGAATGCGTACCAATTAGTCACAGATGTATACACAAACATTTATAAAAACTCATATACTCGTAAACATATAATCGTGATACATACATATATATATATATATATATATATATATATATATATATATATATATATATATATATATATACAGTATATATGCAGTATGTATATATATAGTATATATACAATATATAAGTAGTATGTATACAATATATATGCCTATATTTTTACTTTTTCTTTTTCTTTTCTCTTTTTTTTCTTTTTCTTTTCTTTTTTCTTTTTTTTCTTTTTTTTTTTTTCTTTTTTTAACAGCCATTCAAATATTCCACTGCAGGACATAGGGCTCTTTCAATTCACTATTGAGAGGTTATATGGCAGTGTCACCCTTGCCTGATTGGATGCCCTTCCTAATCAACCGCGGGTCGGCGCGTTAACACTTGTGCCACGGCGGTGACTTCCCCTACG